TTCTTTTATTGTACAGGATTGTTTTGACTATCCTGGTTTTTTTTTTTTTCCTTTGTCCTTCTATATGAAGTTGAGTACTGTTCTTTCGAGGTCTGTGCAGAATTTTGCTGGGATTTTGATGGGAATTGTGTTGAATCTGTAGATTGTTTTTGGTAAGATTGCCATCTTTACTATGTTAATTCTACTTACCCAAGAGCATGGGAGATCATTCCAGTTTCTGGTGTCTTTATCAATTTCTTTCTTCAAAAATTTAAAGTTCTTGTCATACAGGACTTCCACTTGTTTGGTTAGAGTTACTTCGAGATATTTTATGCTATTTATGGCTATTGTGAAGGGTGTTGTTTCTCTAATTTCTTTCTCAACCCATTTATCATCTGTGTACAGGAGGGCTACTGATTTTTTGAGTTAATCTTGTATCCTGCTACATTGCTGAAAGTGTTTATGAGTTGTAGAAGTTCGTTGGTAGAATTTTTGGGGTTGCTAATGTAAACTATCATATCATCAGCAAATGGTGAGAGTTTGACTCCTTTTCTAATTTGTATCCCCCAATCTTCCTTTTGATGTCTTATTGCTCTAGCTAGGACCTCAAGAACTAATATTGAATAGATATGGAGAGAGTGAACAACCTTGTCTTGTTCCTAATTTCAGTGGGATCGCTGGGAGTTTCTCTCCATTTAGTTTGATGCTGCCTGTTGGCTTGTTGTGTATTCCCTTTATTATGTTTAGCTATGTTCCTTGTATCCCTGCTCTCTCCAAGACCTTTATCATGAAGGTATGTTGTAATTTATCTAAAGCTTTTTCAGTATCTAATAAGATAATCATGTGGTTTTGATTTTTCAGTTTGTTTATACGGTGGATTACATTGACAGATTTTCGTATGTTGAACCATCCCTCAATCTTTAGAATGAAGCTTGATCACTGTGGATGGTGGTTCTAATATGTTTTTGGATTCAATTTGCCAATACTTTATTGATTATATTTGCATCAATGTTCATGAATGAGATTGGTCTGGAATTCTCTTTCTTAGTAATATCTTTATGTAGTTTGGGTATCAGGGTAATTGTAGCCTCATAAAAAGAGTTTGGCAATGTTCCTTCTGTTTCTATTGTGTGGAGCAATTTGCAGATTATTGGTATTAATTCTTCTTTGAAAGTCTTGTAGAATTCTGAGCTGAAATCATCTGTTCCTGATCTTTTCTGGTTGGGAGACTTTTGATGACTGTTTCTATTTCTTCAGCAGTTATAGATCTATTTAATTTGCTTATTCTTGATTTAATTTTGGCAAGTGATATTTATCCAGAAAGTTGTTCATTTCCTTTAAGTTTTCCAATTTTGCAGAGTACAGTTTTTTTTTTAAAACAAGACCTGATAATTCTCTGGATTTCCTCCTCGTCTGTTGCTATGTCCCACTTTTCATTTCCGATTTTGTAAATTTGGATACTCTCTCTCTCTGCCTTTTGGTTAGTTTGGATAAAGGTTTGTCTATTTTGTTGATTTTCTCAAAGAACCAACTCTTTGTCTCATTGATTCTTTGTATTGTTTTCTTTGTTTTGATTTTATTGATTTCAGCTCTCAATTTGATTATTTCCTGCCTTCTAGTTCTCTTGGGTGAGTTTGCTTCTTTTTGTTCTAAAGTTTTGAAGTGTTCTGCTAATTCACTATTGTGGGATTTTCCTAGCTTCTTTATATAGGCATTTAGTGCTATGAAATTTCCTTTTAACACTGCTTTCATTGTGTCCCATAAATTTGGGTATGCTGTGTGGCCAATTTCATTGACTTTTAGAAAGTCTTTAATTTCCCCTTTATTTCTTCATTGACCCATTCATGATTCAGGTGAGCATTGTTTAATTTCCATGTGTTTGTGGGTTTTCTGGAACTAGTGTTGCTGTTGAATTCTAGTTTTAAATCATGGTTATCTGATAAGATACATTGGGTTATTCC